TTCGAATGGAGATGTTTCCCGAGACTCACGATCAGTTTTTTCATATCTTCTTTCATTTTTACCTTATGCATATCTTCAGATTTTGCAATATTCTCCAACTTGCTTGCCAACTTTTCAACCATTTTCACACTTTTCTGTTGTGCCCTAATATCATTTTCATCTTTTTTGAATGTTAGTAATTTTTCTGGTTTATGCTTATTATTTGCAATTTTCACGTGTTTATGCTCACCCCTTTTCTCTGTATTATCCACAAGTGTTGGTTTTTTAAATTTAAATGATATTTTATGACTTGGTTTTTCGGATTTTTCAAGCGATTCCTCTTCTAATCCCATCTCCGATTTTTCATTTTTGGCAACACTTCTTCGCATACGAGAGGAGCTAATAGTATCTGTATCAGTATAAGCATCAACCTTAACCCCGGTGTTGAATCTTGCATTCGATGCAAATAAACACAGCCCCGACAATACCAATATACCTAAAAACAACACAAATATCCGAAATTTCATTTTGAGAATGGAAGCCGCCATCTTGTTGACACTACCTGGCAACGTTTCCTTATGACGTAATAGTACGTGACGTTATATTCTAGCACGTTGTCCGAGAAGTGTGACTCAACAAAGTTTTGCTTCAATAAAAATGTTGCACCTTTGTGCTGATAATATTTTGTTATTCACGCGTTTCGAATCCAATGATTATCATGAACATTGAGATTGTCCAAAACTATTGGAATGATTATCGGCTTTTCAGTTCTTGCTTCATCTGCATCTGTAAACAATCTTTAAATCCATCAATGTAATGAAAGCGATCCAACAGTAGGGCCTATTAAAATGTCGTTACATACTTATTGTTTCTAACACTGAAACTTAGCTAATCACAGTTTTTTGCAACATGTCTGTCTGTCTACAATGAAATTAAGACGTACAGAAAGCAAAGAAAGCAGATCAATAAAATTTGAAAAATAATTTAAATTGCTGAAAACTTTCTGACTATCCAAGATTTCCCCAATATCAGATGATTGTGGTTCAACGTGCAATATTAATCAACAAAAATTACATTTCTTCATTATTTATTAAGCAACAGTAGGCCTATCATATATATTTATCTGTCCCTTTTCAGTTCGACTTCTTTTTGTAGAATGTTAGATTTCTCTTCTAGTCCTGCTTCAATAGTCTTCTTTCGTATTTTAACAAGGGCCACCCCGTTCTCAATTGCACGGTGTATTTATGGGCTATCCCTGTACCGTTGTGTGAAAAAAAGCTTTCTCGCTTCAATATATTATAGTATCATGGATCTTGACCAATTTCTTTCAACTGTTCAACCCATTGAATTCCTGTGTAGGAGAGAATAAATAATAGAGTCAATTTTGGAAAATGATGCATAAGCCCAAAAAAGGACAAAAGCCAATTTTGAAAGTGGTCTTGTGCAGAACATAGGAACATAAAAATCTATGGCGTATTACTACACTTAACATAACTGATAACTCTCTTTCATATAAAGTCGGATTTATGGCCTGATGAAAAGACTCTATATACGGATGCTTGAAAAAGTCAAAAGTTGAAATGATTTTATCAAATGCTAGTTATTATTAATGTATGAAATACTTAACCCTGGCAATCGTAATATAAGAATATAGAATAGACTGCTTACTTTTTATTGCGACCGTAGTAACAACAGAATATCAAGACACAAACCAATCCTATACCACCATATACCACAAACTTATGGTGTTTGATATATTTCTTTATACCGTGCTTCACTGCGAACTTATTTACATACGTTTCGGCTACTGTAACTGAAATGAACCATGTAGTTAATTATGAGAGGTTCGTAGTGGCCAAATACTATCTATCTGTATTTCGTTTTGCATTTTCTAATTTCACTTATTTTGAAATTATACGCCCGAAATTACTTATAAGCGTGTGGGGATATAATGTTCTGAATATTTGTCTTTCCAGCCAATATTTTCGATGTTGTCATAATATCAGCATTGCCATAACTGAATCGTATCTGAATTCAGAATTTATCGGACTCTAAGAAGAAGCCCATTGATATCACTCGCAACGTAGGGGCCAACATGTATAAGACATCATTTACATAAAAAGTATGCGAAACATAAGATGAGGCATCAATATATAATTGGAAAGTAACATCAACAAAAATTAAAATCATTTCAGCCAAGGAGATCGCAGGTGATTTTGTTTCAGGGCAACTGGTTATAAAGATATTATATTTATTCCGCGGAATAATACTGTAAATACCGGTATTTAATCCTATCAAATATAATACTTACGTTGTGTTGTATAAGCTGTATTTTCGTTCTTTGCTGTTGGTTTATTTTCTCTGGCTCTTGTTGTCTTTAATTTACTAGCATCAGGGGTTTGTTTCGTCTTCCGTTCTGAAACACGATTTAAATACTCTCAATATAATCTTGATAAAACAACAGAGAGCGAAGTGTAACAAAAAAAAAACAACAACAACGGGGATCAGCAACAGAAATTGAAGTGAAACATCAGCGTCTGAGAAGTAATTCGACATCTGAACGTTCTTGTGTGTCATCAATGACCTGAGGTTCATGAATGTTTTTTGCGTTTTGAAAATTTAAATTAAATGGATGAATTTTGCCTACTTTTATAAATTTCACAATCACTAAAATCTCCCTACCTTCCTCTGTTGGCTTTGGTTTCAATTTTATGTTTTTGTTATCTCTGGCATGTACAAGTTCTCCTTTCTCAGTTTTTGAAGATTTTTCAGAGGATGGATCTTTAACTTCACCTGCCTTAGAAGATTCAATATTTCCTTCATTTTTCGCTTCACCTTCATCTTTACCTGCTTTATTTACATCTTCTACCATACTTTCACCCTTCTCCTGTTCGTGATCTTTATATAGCTCAATATCCTCTTTTTCTTCTTTCTTGACATTATCTTCATTAGAAGATTTAATATTTTCTTTTCCTTGATTTAGTTCCTCTTTTTGCTCTTCAAGATCTTCTTTTGGCAGCTTTGGTTTTGTCTTTTTCTTTGATTTCTTCTTCTTCTTCACCTTCTTTCCCCTTTTCTTTGATTTCCTCTTTTTCTTCTTCCTTCTCTTTCGCTTCTCACTTTTATTTTTCTGACCCTTTATACCCGAGTTTTCGTGGTTTTTCACCTCTTCATCCATTGATATCTGTATAGATTTTTCCGGATGCCCCTCAACATTTTTTGGTATTTTCTTGGTCATTTCACTCTTTTCTATATTCTTCCCATTCCTATTTTTCTTTGTCCTCTTAATCTCTTTATTTGTCTTCTTTTTCTTGCTCAATTTTCTGTTCTTTTCTCCCCTTTTCTTTGTTTCCTGTTTCTTATTCAACTGTATGCTTTTTTCTTCATTTTGTTTCTTTTCAGATGGTTCTATAATTTGTTCCTCTTTTTCTTCTTTCTTGTCATTATCTTCATCAAACGATATATTTTCTCCTTCCATCTGATCTTCAATTTCATCTTCTTCAGATGATGGTTCAATATCATGTTGTTCTTCTACCTTTCTATTTTTACCCCCCAGGGAAGATTTCATCTTTGCCTTCTCTTGACCTTGTTCTTCTTCTGATGATGCTGCAATATTCCTTTCCTGTTCGTGATCTTCTTCTCTCTCTTCAAGGTCTTCTTTTACTTTCATTGTTAGTTTTTGCTTTGTCTTTTCCATTTTCTTCTTCTTTCCATTTTGATTCGTTTTCTTTCTCCCTTTTTTCTTTGATTTCTTCTTTTTCTTGCCTTTCTTCCTTGCCTTTTGCTTCTCACTTTTAGTTTTATTAACCTGTTTGTCTGTTTTTTCATCTTTTTTCTCCTCTTTTATTGGTTTTTGTATTTTTTTTTCTCTCGCCTTTTTCTTCTTCCCTTTCTTTACGCTATCAATTTTCTTCGTTTTCTGTGTCTTTTTCTCCATTTCAGTTTGTTTCTTCATCTCACTTTTTTCTGACAATTTTTCATTAACAATTACTTTTAGTTTCTTTTTTTGATCCGGAGTAAATTCACTTTGATCTACCGACTCCGAAGTAAATTCTCTTTGATCTACCACTGGGGTTATTTTTTTTAATGGTGGTTTCTTTTTCTTATTCTTCACTGCTTGTTTCTTCTGTTTCATATTATCTTGTGTTTGTTTCCTCTTTTGTTCAATAGATTCAGCTTTCTGACTCTTTCGTTTTTCATTCGGTTCTTCTGCATCATTTCCTTGTGCTTTTTGTTGTGTATCGGACATAGATTTTTTGTTTTTTGACGTTTTAGTTTTGGATCTTGATCTACTTGATTTCTTACTTTTCTTTTTTTTCTTTATCTTCTTTGACTTTTTCTTTGTCTTTTTCTTCCTCCTTCTTTTCTTTTTCTTTGATTTATTTTTAGTTTTACTTTTAGATCTTTTCTTCCCCTTTCTTTTCTTGGATTTTGACTTTTTCTTCTTACGTTTCTGTGGTGATCTTTCATTTCTAATATGTTTAGCGAGTCTCTTGATACGAACAGAGCTTAAAGCCTCGGAGTTAGCAACGATTTCTGTTCGGTCACTCTGTTTATAATTTGGTAAAAGCAAACAAGTCCCTAACAAGATCAAAACGCCTAATATCATTATTGCTATCCCAAATTTTTGGATTGTCGCCGCCATGTTTTTATGTCATGACGACATAGATGACGTCACAGAGTGCACGTTGTCCGAAAAGTCCGCTTTTAGGATTTTAGCTCATCTGTGATGCATTAGCATTTAGCTAATTAAATTTTAACGCTCGCCATGGAATTTATAATAAATCATTTTGTTTTGATGGTAAATAGGCCTACTCATCTTTGAACATTTCGAACCTTTAGCTTAATTGTGTCAACAACAACAATCAAAATGATCGCGTTTTGACTATTTCACGGGCAAAAACTAAAAAATCATAAATAGAATTTCAAGATTCGGTGATATATGATAGGTTATTTCCGTAGAATGTAGAATATAAAAAATGAAGGGCATGAATTCGAATTTTATTCGCATTAATATTTTTATACCAACGTTTACATTGAACTAAAATAACATGTCGTCATTATTTCATTACTCAACATTAGAAACATAATTTCAATGTGTAATGTGTAGGCCTGATCTCGGTCAGGCAAATTTCCACGTATCTTCTTCATAGGCTACATAATGAGGACTGACATTCCTGCTTTTTTCTACGTTTTTATTGTCTCATGCATTGATTGCTGTTGAGACAATGCGACTGGATATCAATCGATTCACTTCCTTCATTTCCTTCTGGTCTCGTTGTTCATTAATCCTTTCGTGTAATTCTTACCACGAGCCTTTTCCGTACATGCTCTCTATCCAATTTACGGCATATTACAACATGTGTCAGACCGGTCAGGGGGTTATAACTTGCCACTTAGTTTTCCATATACACTGATCTGATACTGACGCCTTCTATCTTTATCCGGAATATTCTATTCTGTTGAAATAGTTCAACCCTTCGAATCTCTACAATGAATGAAAAAGAATTAAAATAACGCTCCACTTTACCGATCTAAATTAAGCTAATGAAGATTAATTGACCAATTTTCAATGTGACCAATTTTACTGTGACAATCGTACCTTGTGACCAATTTCCAGTGACCAAATAACCGTTTTTTACCTGACAAAGTCTGTATAGTAATGAAGATTCGTGTTAGTATCTGGGGCTAAAGCTGAACAGTTTGGCATTCTGCTATAAGTAAAGACGTTTGACAAGCTTAATAATACAGTAACTCTCATTTAAATTTAAATAAGGCCACTAAATGTCCACTGCTGAAGAATTACTTACTTTGTTCTTTTACTACAGAAATAGTAAAGTACCAATAGACATATTATCAAGATTATTAATCCTATTCCACCATATACTCTATACATATATTTCTGTTTCATAATGTACTTTTTCATATCATGTGCCACGATTTCATATTCCTTCTTGAGTTTATGTGTATGCTTTTGAGCTTTTGCCACTGGAATAAATACGTACAAAATAAACATACATAGACAACTTATGTATTATTTACCGTTTTTCTTTTAACCCATTCGTCATAATTCGTTAATTAAACAATGTCAAAACCCGTATTCGGTATTTATGTGATAGTCTGATAGGAGTAAAAGCTGGAGCACGTGTGTTTGTTCCAACTAAAACCACAACATAAAAATACAGAGGCTACTGGTTAGGATCAGTGCAAGCATGAACCAAGGCTAGTGGTTCCAGAAAAAGATCTTCAGCTAGCACATGAGTTATTGATCAAGAATCCTTTGACTTTTGTTTAGTCTTTCTTATCAGCTCTACCTTCATAACATTACCATCTGGAGATCCAGGAGGATACTTACGTTGCTTTGTAATCACTTGAAAGTCAGTTGCATTCAGGTTAATCTTACTAAAGGATGGCACTGAAAAAGTATCAATTTTAATCATAAACAAATTTTAAAAAGCTAAACACAAAATCTGTAAATGGGCCATACTGTATAATCGGAGATCATGCTTTTAGAAGCATCATTTTTATAGATAAAAATGCACTATCAGAGGACTTCATAACTTCTACATGGTTCTAAAGCTCATAACATTACCATCTGGGAGATCCAGGAGAATACTTACGTTTCTTTGCAATCACTTGAAAGTCAGTTGCATTCAGGTTAATCTTACCAAAGGATGGCACTGAAAAAGTATCAATTTTAATCATAAACAAATTTTAAAAAGCTAAACACAAAATCTGTAAATCGGCCATACTGTATAATCGGAGATCATGCTTTTAGAAGCATCAATTTTTATAGATAAAAATGCACTATCAGAGGACTTCATAACTTCTACATGGTTCTAAAGGTCATGAAGATCATACCTTTTGGCATATTTGGAACGTAGCCTTGAAAAATTCTTCTTATTTTGTCTTCTACTGCCTTTAGTCCATGTTTCTCTGGCTCCGGCTTTGGCTTTTGTTTCCATCTGATGTTCTTAGCATCACTGGCAAGTACTATCTCCTTTTTATCAATGTTGGGTTGATGGTGACCTAGCCGAGCATAGTTGTCTTCTGATTTGTCGCTATCTTGGCCCTTTTCTTCTTCTTCGTCGTCTTTGTCTTCTTCTTCAACCTGTTCCTTTTGATCTTGGTTTTCATCTTCCGTAAAGATTTTAATTTCTTTATTATGTTTTCTTTTCAAATCCATCAGACGTTTCTCATTTTCTACTTTTCTATGCTCTGTGGCCATCTTGTGACCTTTTTCCGGAATTGTCTTCGTTGATCTTGTTGTAAAGAATTCTATTAAACTCATCGTGGGAGTTATCAAATCATAAGGTACATTTTCATCTATACTTTCATCATATTCTTGAACCTCTACAGAGGAATAATCACCTTCGATCTCCCCTTCTTCTTGACCTACATTTTTGTCGCCTATAGAAGATTCAATATCTAGTTTCTCTTGAAATATGTCTTCATTCTCCTCGACATCCTCTTTGTGTGACCCCAGGAAATCTCTTTCTATTTTGTTTTGCTCTTTGAACATCTTGCGATCTTTCTCTGAAATTTCATTTTTGCTTTGAACTGGTTTCATGGATCTCGTGGTAAAGAATTCTCTTAAACTCATGGTTGAAGTCATCATATCATAAGGAACATTTTTATATTCGTCTATATTCTCCCCACGTTCTTCACCTTCTGCAGAGGATTCAACATCTTCTCCATATCTCCAAAGATCTAAATCTGCTTCATCTGTGGGAATTTTATTCCCGAGTCCTTCAATTTCTTTTCCTGCAAAATGTCCAATCTCTCCAGGGAATTCACTCTCGTTTTCGTGGAAATCTGTGTCACTATCTGCTTCTTCTGCGGGAAATTCACTATAGTCTTCCTCATACTCTTCAAGGTCTTGGCTTCCCTCAGAGGATTCACTATCCTCTATTTCTTTCTTTCGGTCTAAATTTGCTTTGTCTTTAATTAAAAATTCCACAACGTCCTCGTCTTTTTTAAGATCTTCTGAGGATTCACTATAATCTGTATCTATATTTTGGTTTATATCTGCTTTTTCTTGAAGGGGAAATCCCCTATCGTCTATTTCCTGTACAAAGTCTTCTGAGGATTCATTTTCTTTTTCTTGCTCTTCCTCATCTGTATTTTTATCTTCCTCAAACGATGTAATATTTACTGCTTCTTGGTCTGCGTCTTCATCTTCTCCAGATGATTTAAAGTCTTCCTCGTTTTTATCAATTTCTATCCTTTGTTTTTTCTCTTTCTTCAGTCCCTTTTTCTTTTTCTGAGTTTTCTTCTTTGATCCCCCTTTCTTTCTCTTTTTCTTTTTCTTCCTCTTCGATTTCTTCTTCATCATTCGTTTTTTCTTCTTTTTCTTACTTTTCTTCATGATCCCCTTTTTCTGACTTTTCACACGTTGATTTTTATTCTTTGAAAGGGCTGTCGGTTCAATTTCATTTTCAGATCCCTTTTTCAAATATTTTTCTGGCTGTTCATCCATTTCATCTTTTTTCGTTTTCATATTTTTGACGCTAGTATGAGCTTTTCTGTCCTGGTCTATCTTTTCTTCTGCGGGAAACTCTCTCTCGTTTTCATTGAATTCTGTGTCTTCTGAAGATTCCTTATGGTCTTCCTCATTTTTATTGACGTCTTGATCTGTATCTTCATCTTCTCCAGATGATTCAAAGTCTTCCTCGTTTTTATCAATTTCTATCCTTTGTTTCTTCTCTTTCTTCAGTCCCTTTTTCTTTTTCTGAGTTTTCTTCTTTGATCCCCCTTTCTTTCTCTTTTTCTTTTTCTTCCTCCTCTTCGATTTCTTCTTCATCATTCGTTTCCTCTTCTTTTTCTTACTTTTCTTCATGATCCCCTTTTTCTGATTTTTCACATGTTGATTTTGGTTCATTGTGAAAGCTGTCGGTTCAATTTTATTTTCAGATCCCTTTTTCAAATATTTTTCTGGCTGTTCAACCATTTCATCTTTTTTCGTTTTCATATTTTTGACGCTAGTATGAGATTTTCTGTCCTGGTCTATCTTTTCTTCTGCGGGAAATTCTCTCTCGTTTTCATTAAATTCTGTGTCTTCTGAAGATTCCCTCTGGTCTTCCTCAATTTTATTGACGTCTTGATCTGTATCTTCATCTTCTCCAGATGATTCAAAGTCTTCCTCGTTTTTATCAATTTCTATCCTTTGTTTTTTCTCTTTCTTCAGTCCCTTTTTCTTTTTCTGATTTTTCTTCTTTGATCCCCCTTTCTTTCTCTTTTTCTTTTTTTTCCTCCTCTTCGATTTCTTCTTCATCATTCGTTTCCTCTTCTTTTTCTGATTTTCTGCCTGTTGATTTTGATTCATTGAAAGGGATGTTGTTTCAAATTCATTTGCAGGACCCTTTCCCAAGTATTTTTCTGGCTGTTTATTCATTTCATTTTCTTCTGAGGATTCCTTTTCTTTTTTTCGTTCTTTCTCATGTTTATTTTTATCTTCCTCAAACGATTTAATATTCACTGCTTCTTTTTTCTCATGGTCTGTTTCTTCACCTTCTCCAGATGATTCAATGTCGTCCTCATTTTGTTCAATTTCTATCCTTTGAGTCTTCTTTTTCTTCAACCCGTTTTGCTTTTTCTCATTTTTTTTCTTTGATCCCTCTTTCTTCCCCTTTTTCTTTTTCTTCCTCCTCTTCGATTTCTTCTTCCTCATTCGTTTCTTTTTCTTTTTCTTACTTTTCTTCATGATCCCCTTTCTCTGATTTTTAGCATGTTGATTTTTATTCTTTGAAAGGGCTGTAGGTTCAATTTTATTTTCAGATCCCTTTTTCAAGTATTTTTCTGACTGTTCATCAATTCCATCTTTTTTCGTTTTCATATTTTTGACGCCAATGCGAGATTTGTCTGCGTCTTCTGAGGATTCCTTATGGTCTTCCTCATTTTTATGGACGTCTTGTTCGTCCCCAGAGGACTCATTATCCTTAACATCTGACTTTCGGTATTCGTCTGCTTTGTTTTGAATGGGAAATTCCTCATCGTTTTCATCCTCAACGTCTTCTGTGGATTCCCTATCTTTGTCGTGCTCTTCATCTGTATTTTCATCTTCCTCAAACGATTTAATATTTACTGCTTTTTCTTCATGGTATGTGCCTTCATCTTCTCCGGATGATTCAATGTCATTTTCATTTTGTTCAATATCTACCCTTTGAGTCTTATTTTTCTTCTTTGATCCCCCTTTCTTTCTCTTTTTCTTCCTCCTCTTCGATTTCTTCTTCATCATTCGTTTCTTCTTCTTTTTCTTACTTTTCTTCATGATCCCCTTTTTCTGATTTTTTGCCTGTTGATTTTGATTCATTGAAAGTGCTTTTGGTTCAATTTTATTGTCAGACATCTTTTTCAAATATTTTTCTGGCTGTTCATCAATTCTATCTTTTTCCCCTTTCATGTTTGTTTTGATGTTTTTGTTAATCTTCTTCTTCCCACTTGACTTTTGTTTATTTTCCTGTTTGCTGCTAATCCTCTTACTGCCTCTTACCTTCTTTGCTTTCTCTGGTCTTTTATTTGAATTCCTTTGATCTGTTTGAAATTTTTTCTCATTTCCCACATTTTCATTCATTTCAGCATTTCCATGTTCCTCATTTTGATCCTGTTGTGCTTCTGTTTCCAGTTCACCTTTTGTCGGCTTTTCATTTTCAAACTCCGGTGGTTCCTTATTCTTTCTTTTCTCATTTTTATCCTTCGTCTTTCCTTTTCTTTTTTTCTTCTTTTTCTGAGATATTTTCTTTGATTTTTTCCTCTTTCTTTTTTTACTCTTTCCATTTTTCTCCTTCTTCTTCATATTTTTCGTTTTCTTCTTTTTCTTTTTCTTGTTGATATTTTTCTTCTTCTCATTCTTTTTAAGTTTATTATTCGTTTTCTTTGCTTTCTTCTTATCCATGTTCATCGTTTTCTTTGTTTTCGTACCTATGTGTAATTCTTTTAATTCCCTATCATGCTTAAGTATTTCCTTCTCTAGAAAATCTTCCATTTCGCTTTCTTCCTCTGTATCTGGTGACTGGATTACTTTCTTTTTTGCAAATTCTTTTGCTTGTGACGAAGGCACATCTTCATCTATTCTTGAATCAACTTCTTCCAAATTTTCTTTTTTTGTAGTTTTGATCTTACTTTTATTCTTTTTCTTGCTAACTTTATTTCTGTTCTTCTTTTTCTTACTTTTTCCCTTGCGGACCCTTTTCTTCGATTTTCTCCTCTTTTTCTTTTGATTCTTCATTGCTTCCTTGTCATTTTTCTTCATATCCATTTTTTTACCTTTTCTTTTTCCCTTTTTTACTTTCTTTTTTGTCCGTATCTGTTCTGCTTTCTTCCCAGCTTTGCTTGAGAGTTTTGTTACTGAAGTCGTATCAGGAGTTTTCAATGACTGTTTTAGATCATCAATTTCATTCTTCTGCTCATTTATTTCACCATACTCATCTTCCTCGTTTTCAAATTCTTCTGTTCCAGATAATATCGCAGTAGATTTTCCTATAATTTTCTTCAGTTTCTTCTTTTTCTTTTTCTTCTTTCTTTTCCCTGTCGTATCAGGAGTTTTCAATGACTGTTTTAGATCATCAATTTCATTCTTCTGCTCATTTATTTCACCATACTCATCTTCCTCGTTTTCAAATTCTTCTGTTCCAGATAATATCGCAGTAGATTTTCCTATAATTTTCTTCAGTTTCTTCTTTTTCTTTTTCTTCTTTCTTTTCCCTGTCGTATCAGGAGTTTTCAATGACTGTTTTAGATCATCAATTTCATTCTTCTGCTCATTTATTTCACCATACTCATCTTCCTCGTTTTCAAATTCTTCTGTTCCAGATAATATCGCAGTAGATTTTCCTATAATTTTCTTCAGTTTCTTCCTTTTCTTTTTCTTCTTTCTCTTCCCTGTCTTCTTATTTCTCCTGTTTCCTTTCTTTTTACTTTTTCTCTTTCCTTTTTGAATTCCAGTCGACTCTGTTGTTGGTTTTGGAACAGTGGTTACAGTACTCGGGATTGCTACTGTCGTAATTGGCAAGGTAGACTTGAAAGGAGGGTTTCGTTCAGTGCTTTGCGGTTTAAGTTCCTTGCCTGGTTCATAAGAATCTTCTGATTCAAATTGATCATATGGTTTATTCAAATCTTCTATTACAGATTCATTCATTGTGTTTGGATTTGTTGTTTTCTCGTATCCTATCAATTTCTTCAGTTTTCTACTTTTCTTTTTCTGCTTCCCTTTACCTTTCTTTTTATTTCTTCCCTTCCTTTTCTTTTTTCTCTTTTTCTTTCGATTCCTGTTTTGATTAATCTGCTTGGATGTCACATCTTGGATCCCAGATGTTGATTGTTTTGTTATTTCAGTGGTTTTGAAGATTGTATCTGTGGTTGTTGGAGCAGTGGTCTTATTTGGTACACTTTGTTCTTCAGTTGGTTTTTCGAACTCTTTGTCTGGTTTATTAGAATCTTTTGATTGAAATTCTTCATCTGGAATAAGTAATTCTTGTCTTACGGATTCAATCGTAGTGCTTGGAATAGATATTATCTCATATCCTATTAATTTCTTCAGTTTCTTCTTTTTCTTTTTCCTCTTTCCTTTATCTTTCTTTTTATTTTGTCCTCTTCTATTCTTGTTCTTCTTTAATTTGTTCATAGTTGTCAAGACTGTGATTGCTGTTGTATTGTTTACAGGTAATTTACCTGCTATCGTACTATATTCTTCACTTGACATTTCCGATTCTTCACTTGGTTCAGTAAAGTTTTCTATCACAAATTCTGTCGTTTCGGATGGAGCTGATGTTTCTTCATAACCAATTAATTTCTTTAATTTCTTCTTCTTTCTTTTTCCTTTCCCTTTATTTTTTCGCCTTCCTTTCTTTTTCTTTTTCCGTTTGCTTTTCATCTTTTTGATTTTCGAATTCTTTTGCGCCACACTTTGAGTCTCAGTCGTTGAGGTTGTAGTAAAAGAGATTGTGCTCCGTGGTGCTGGAAAGGTAGTTGCATTTGTTGGGGTGGTAGTATTAGAAGTAGTTGTAGTAGTAATATTGGAAATTGAGGATGTGGACAATCTTTCAGATTCTGTCGTTTTGGATGGAGCTGATGTTATTTCATATCCTATTAATTTCTTCAGTTTCTTTCTTTTTTTCTTCTTTTTCTCCTTCTTCTTCTTCTTTTCTCTCCCTTTCTTTTTATATTTTCCTCTTATTTTCTTTTTCCGTTTGTTTTTGATCTTTTTAATTTTCAAAGTTGTTGTATTTTGGATTTTAGTGGTAGTAGTGGCAGTAGTAGTAATTGTAGCAGTTTGATTGGTAGATAATTTGTTTGTAGCTGTTGGGGATGTGACTGCTACTGGTAGTTTACTTGTCGTATATTCTTCACTTGGTTCAGTAATTTTTTCTATCACAGATTCTGTCGTTTTGGATGGAGCTGATGTTTTCTCATATCCTGTTATTTTCTTCAGTTTTTTCTTCTTCTTCTTCTTCTTCTTTTTCTTCTTCTTTTCGGCCCCTTTGTTTTTAGTTTTCCCTGTTCTTTTCTTTTTCTTTTTCCGTTGGCTTTCCATCTTTTTGATTTTTCTCTTTGGTGCTTCTCTTTGTATCTCAATGGTATGATTAGTTGGCGTAGTGATTTGAATGGTAGTCGTGGTCGTGTCAGTTGTAAGGATTGTGGTCGACATTTCCGATTCTTCGTTTGGTTCAGTTAATTTTTCAATCCCAGATTCTGTCGTTTTGGATGGAGCTGATGTTTTCTCATATCCTATTAATTTCTTCAGCTTCTTCCTTTTCTTCTTCTTCTTTCCCTTCCCTTTCTTTTTATTTCTTCCTTTTCCTTTCTTTTTCTTTTTCTTTTTCCGTTGGCTTTCCGTCTTTTTGATTTTCCTCTTTGGTGCTTCTCTTTGTATCTCAATGGTATGATTAGTGGTCGAAGTGATTGGGATGGTAGTCGTGGTCGTGGCAGTAGTAGGGATTGTGGTTATAGAAGTTGGAAAGGTTGTCTCAGTTGTTGGGATGGTAGTATTTAGAGGAGATAAAATAGTAATTGTAGTAGGAATATTGGAAGTTGTAGTTTTCGGGACTGTGACTGCTGTTGTGTCGTTTACAGGTATTTTACTTGTCGAATACTCTTTGGTTGACATTTCTGATTCTTTGGTTGACATTTCCGATTCTTCACTTGGTTCAGTTAATTTTTCTATCACAGATTCTGTCGTTTTAGATGGAGCTGATGTTATCTCATATCCTATTAACTTCTTCAGCTTCTTCCTTTTCTTCTTCTTATTTCCCTTCCCTTTCTTTTTATTCCTTCCCTTTCTTTTCTTTTTCTTTTTCTTTTTCCGTTGGCTTTCCATCCTTTTGATTTTCGGTTTCTTCTGTGCCACCCTTTGTATCTCAGTGGTTTGAATAGTTGTCGAAGTAATTGGACTGGTCGTTGGCATTGCAGTAGTAGGGATTGTGGTTATAGAAGTTGGAAAGGTTGTCTCAGTTGTTGGGATTGTAGTATTTGGAGGAGATAAAATAGTAATTGAAGTAGGAATATTGGTAGTTGAGGTTGTAGGCAATTTATCAGTAGTTGCATGTTCTCTGATTGCTACTGTGTCTTTTGGAGGTAATTTACTTGTCATATATTCTTCGCTTGACATTTTCGATTCTTTGGTTGACATTTCCGATTCTTTGGTTGACATTTCCGATTCTTCATTTGGTTCAGTAATTTTTTCTATCAAAGATTCTGTAGTTTTGGATGGAGATGATGTTATTTCATATCCGATTAACTTCTTCAGCTTCTTCCTTTTCTTTTTATTCCTTCCTTTTCTTTTCTTTTTCTTTTTCTTTTTCCGTTGGCTTTCCATCTTTTTGATTTCAGGATTCTTCTGCGCCACCCTTTGAATCTCTGTGGTTTGAATAATGGTCGCAGTAATTTGAGTCGTGGTCTTTGGCATTGCACTAGTAGGGATTTTTGTGACTGCTGTTGTGTCGTTTACAGGTAATGTACTTGTTGTATATTCTTCACTTGACATTTCCGATTCTTCACTTGGTTCAGTAAATTTTTCTATCACAGATTCTGTCGTTTTAGATGGAGCTGATGTTATTTCATATCCTATTAACTTCTTCA